CCGTACCAGCACTCCAGAATTCAACCGGTGGCGTGTTCCGGACCTAAATATACATCCGTGCCACCCAAACCCTGACTCTCCGGCGGCATGGGCCCGCGACCCGTTGGCGCTAATCCGCTGACCTTTGACCCTGAACCCAGACATGACCTGCCCGGCCCACATGTCACGGCTGAGGCACTGAGATGCTCGGCTGACCGCGGCCCGGCTCTGCGCTGATTGGCTGATTTCGAGCAAGCGGATGGGCAGCAGGCAGTGATCCCCGAGCCGGGGAGGTTGAAGTACGAAAAATATTGACACCCCTGCCACGCAAGTGACCAAGCATTGAAACGATGGGCTCAACCATTTACTATTTGTCTGATACCATGGCATTTCACTTGAGGCCATCAGATTGGGCAGCTTGGTGCATCCCACATACGTTTCCTCCAGGCGTTGTCGTGATCCACCACCTTGTCCACCAGCGTAACATCTTTGTAACGATTCTTTTGCGATTTTCTGATCAGATCTGGGTCGCCACCCTTTTCCGCCCGAAACAGGTCGATGTCCAGCACCATCTTGAACTGAAATACAGTAAAATCACTGTCCACACAAGAGCAGGCAACAACACAGCACATGCTTGAGGTAACACATGCTACAGTTCAAGTGACAATCAACGCATTCAACCATTAATGTTTTAGTGGTTTCATGTAACTCTTCATGTGCCATCATTACTGAATGGTTTGTGAAACCACTAATGCACCAAACACATATAATGGCAAGACAATCCATTAAAGACGCTGTATAAAATAAAAGGTATTACACAAAAATAAAATTGAATGTTTCCTATAATTAGGAAAAATGATAATCTCAAAGGAGATATTCCATCAAACCAAGCACAGAAAAATGAAAAATGTCCAGTTTTGTGGCTGTGATGCTTCCTACCAACAAACTATCACAATGAAAAATCCAGAAACACCTGGTGCAGGACATTCTCCACCACTACACTGTGACACAGACCATCCTATTGCCCTTCAGGGATTTCGATTTTGTGTCATTGGGGATTTATGATTAAAACGTGTTGAAACGGTTACATGGTACCAAAGATACAAATCCACAACCCTCAGCTGTGATGCAGCCTGTTATGGTGTTAGTACTACCCCACTGATCTTATCTGCATGTGTAGTGATGTGCATCAAGGGTCTGTGCTTGGCTCATGTCAATATTCTAGTGGGGTATAACATGTCACTGGATTTCCACCATATGCCTGTTCACATCACTTCTCTTTTGTACAGCCTTTGTGGCAGTCAGACCCAAAGGCACCCTAGTCCCATCCACATAGGATTTGATGTTGCCAAGAAGGCCACGATTCCTGGCAAGATTTGTCAGGATTTGTCACCAATCACAACTTGTTGTCCACTACACAAGTCGGGGCTCTTTCTCTTAACCTGCACTCTTAATCGCAGTGGCATTAATTCATGTAAATTGGTCTTCAGTAATTCCCCTTTGCTTGGAGGACCCCATGTCCCGACCGAGCTCCTATATGTTAGCTTGTCCGGCACCCCGATCATTAAGGGGCCACCACGTTGGCCTTGGTGTCCTAACCTTAGAGCAGCAGGATGTGCACCAATGAAGTTTTATGCACAAATCTTGACCATAATTTTATGCTCTACTGACACTGCATTACGTCATTTCCAGCTGTTATTAAATTTGTGACACCTACAATACTTGTGCATCATGTTCTTAATGCATTTTAAATGCCAGGATATTTTGAACTCCTTCATAATAGGCAAAGCAAAAACTCTGCATTGGTCATCAGCTATCAGCTGATCATATCAGCCAGCCAGCTAGCCATAAATAGGCTAGGAATCAAGTTTGTGCTTGACTTTGATGGCATTTATTAGCTGACTTTAGTTAGTTGTCATGTTTTTTTCCAAAATATTTGACTTCAAAATGACAAAACTCTCTAAGCTCTGGAGAAAATGAATAAACTCCATGTGCATGAGTAGCATGCCTAATTTTCTAGGGCTGCCCCATATCTTTCTTAAAAAGTTTTGTTATAAAAAGGGTCCCTTTTAAAAGTGACGTGTTGAGAATCTCAAGAGCTAATGGCTTTTTCTGTCAGCTCTGATCCCTACCATCTGACAGTGCAATTCCAAGACAACAGCAGAGCCTGGCACTGACAATCTAACATGCCATAAAGCTGATGCAGTCCACAATGCCCTTCGTCCATTGTTGTCTGCGCTGCAGGCCAATGCCTGATGGGGACTTCATGACACCACAGGACCCATAACATTTGTGCAATGTCTGAGTCTACAGCTGTGATCTTGCTCTCTTTGATATCCTCCTATGACAATGCCACCATTTGTGACATGCAGCATATTCACAGCTGGGAAGACAGCAGGAGCATAAAACTGCAGCATTCTCCAATGCATCCAGAAAGGTGTCAAGAATGTCAACATGAATGGATGGTACTAAAATCCTGGTTCTCCAGCAATCTCTGTAGCAGTCTGCTGGTGCCATTGATCACTCTTGACTCAAGATCCAGACTTCTGACCCACCCAGCCCTATTAACAGTTTGAGGCAATTACATGCTTGGTTGACCACAACCCAGCTCTGTACAAATTGGCCAATTTTGAGGAAGGGGGGAATAGATAATAAATTTGAGGCTGAGGGTGTTAAAGCATGAAAATATATCGGCATCCCTGCCCCCCTCCCCCCTTCCCACGTGACTGAATATTGAAATACTACATGACTGCATTATATACCAGTCAGCTCTACACAAATTTTGTTTCCTTTTGAATGAGCCAGTGCATTGTCTGGCCCAACTGAAGTGGAAATGCCAGCTGGCAACTGGTCAACTGGGATCAACCCATCCCCTCCAACAGTTGTGCCCCAGCATTGTGGAGCATGTGAAATCATCCACATTGCTGTCTGGTGAAAGGGTGGGGGGTAAGCTAAACAACAAATGCTGTACTGGAGTTGAACACAGTCATAAAAAATCAAATTCTGGCAATGTGGTTAGCAGGGAGAACCCAACACATTACTGAGCTTTCCTGTATTAGTGAGCATGCATATTCCACTGCATAATGCATGCATGGGCTGCATCTTCATACAGGGTACAGAATTGCATGCAATGATGCTAGTCTGCAAAAGGTGGCAGACCACCAAATCCTGGCCCCTTAAGGCATTTGGGGCAGGTCTGCTCCTGCCCCAAATGGGGCAGCCAACTTCTCTGCTTGGTTCTTGGGGCAGGAGCCGATAATCTGATGACCAGCAGGCTTACATACCAAATAGTACCCTTGGAGAGTACCAACACAGCCTACCCCATTAGGCAACTTCTGTCCAAAATTTCCCAAACCTGCTCTTCATGTCCGACAATGATCTGCTGCACCCTAAAACCATACAAAACTGGCAACAAATGACCAATGGGGAGCTCATAAATACCATATGGTAGTTGGCAAACATGAACTCATGCAAAATCAAATGCACAGCAAACTAACCAACAGGTATGATGAAGCTAGATAACATGAGACCATGGGGAGGCTAAGCCTATAAGAAAAAGCATTAACATAGGTGGTATTTTATGAGCTACATTGTACCGAACCGTGGTAATATGCAGTCACCATGCTTCATCTGAAACTGAATTGAACAAGGCTTGAAATATCAACATTAAACCATACAAATACCTTCCCTATAGTAACACAAAAGGTCCTAAATAGGCTAAGATGGTCATAGGTTATTCTCACCGTCAATGTCCCTGTCAGCGTGCTTCGCAGACGGCAGGCCCCCAGTAATCCCCACCTCGCCGCCCAGACTGCACATGCGGTGACGTCCCAGGATGACGTTCCTCAATGCGGTCAGCACCCGCGCTACTGCACTCTGGGTAGGCCGCACTGTGACGTCCTCATGGGAATAAATCATATGCCGCGGCACCAACGCTGCGGCGGCGTGAAAACGCTGTTCTTTGTGAGTTGGTTTTAACATAAACGTATCCATAAGCTGAACTTTTTCGACCAAGCACATTCAACAAAGCATTTTCAGTCGGCACATGGCGGTGGTTTGCACCAGAGCCACAAAATTGTTGTTGAGATGCGCTTCCAGCCTGTCCCCGACAGAGAGATAGGGTCGCAGCTTCCTACGACGTGCATTGAAAAGTTAGACTGCACATCCTCTAGCGTTAGGAGGGGCGTTGTCCGGGTGAGTGCAGGGTTGGCCTGCCCTAATGGGGTTGTTAAGTCATGAGCCCCGGGAGACGTAAATGCAGCGTGCCATTTCAGTTCAAGATAGTAGATTTTCTCGTGACATAGGACGATTTTGGCAAGTTTTGCAATTTCTGACGGTTAAATAGTCGAGGCCAATGACTCAGCTCGGAAATGGTCTAGGGGTATATTAGGGCAATCGGGGTATCATTTCTTGCTTACTCTTATCACATAGCCCATTCGACATTATGCAGCTGTTGGCCTTGGGTTGCCGGACTGCGCTGCCTAATATCAGTGCATACTACACTCCACGGATTTTAGTGCGAATCGGTACTGAACACCATCCCCTTTCAGCAAGGATACGTACTTAACACTTTTGAGGACGCGTTGCCCCGGAGAGCGGCATTCTGGTGCTCAAACTAAAGTGGTAACCCCGGAGTGCAGTTTTGGGTTCATCTGGTGCTACCGAATTCATGATTCAAGTCTTACGCCAAGCGCTTATCTTGGCATTAGACGCGACGGATCGTCCTCGAACAGGTTGTTTCGTGGGTCCTATATTACCCCTTCGGTCCTTGAACTACATCCAAAATTGTGCAAGGTGTGAAGTTTCTCTTGCATTCATGTTCACTTTGATCTTATAGATCATTCCACCGACCAAACATGCTGTAATACATGCAATCTCTGATGTTCGTTACCACACGTGCGGCCGCTCTCTGGCGTAAAGGTGTACCCTCAGTGACGTCACATGGGGATCCTGCTGAGAAGCGCGTTGTGTGGATGATTCCACCCAATGTACACCGTCTTGCTCCAAGCTGCCCAAACCACGAACAGGGAGGCAAATTGTCGGCAAAGGTGTGTGGGAGGGGGATGCTGAGGTGCACGATAGGGGGCGGCGGGTTATGTTTGTCTGGTAACATGGAATGTTTGTTCATGCGACTGAAAAGAATCACTTATATGCTGATACTAATAACTGATACCTGCATACCACTCAGAGTGATCGAAGATATGTGGAGTTATCGTATTCGCTTTTTATTCATCTTTTGCTAGCTAGCATGCTGGCGGGATCACGCTAACAGAGAGTCTGACTCACGTCTGAATTTCAATAGATCCACTGTGTCACAATGATAATGATGTGAAGAAAAATATGGAATTCTTAACTGTCAGTGAAAAGTGGATTTGAAAAATGTTCTGTTACGGCTATTTCCTTCAGTGTTTGGATAACGAACATGAAATGTAGAAAAGTGACCATGTTTGCCTGCATTTAGAGCTCAGTTTTGTGATTTTTATCAGCTGACTCCATGGAAAACGAATCTGACATTGTGCATTGCACTGCAGGATGACATGGCAGCAAGCCCCCTCATGAGTAACATTGTGACCATTGCAAGGAAGCCATGCGGTGTGTGCATCGCCATCACCAAGTGGATTCCAGTGATCTTTATCCTGGCAGTAGTGTGCTGGTCTTATTATGCATATGTGGTTGAACTTTGCCTAGGTAAGACAACCATCACATTTTAAGTGTTCTTGTAGTTTTTATCAGTGCTGATACTTGTGTGAAAATCAGTGTACTTGTATTTATGTGCACATTACATTTGATGACCTATGCCCAACTGGTATGGTGTAGCATGTGTTGTTCCCTTTACATTGACATGATGCCAAATATTGGTATTATGCTGTATTGAATACAACATGCCTGTCCTGATAAAGCATTGATATCTCCACTTCATTTTCCAGTAACTGTGGAGAGCTATGCAGAAAAGGTGGTGTATCTGATGCTCTACCACATCTTGTTGCTGCTATTTCTCTGGGCTTACTACCAGACTGTGATGACACCAATAGGAAGAGTACCTAAACAGGTAATTACTGATCATGCATTCTGGTGAATGCTTTTAGTTTTAAGCAAGGGATGGTCCATTGTGTTTAGATAGATTGTGTTGTAGGCACTATGCCATAAAAGGGTTTCATCTTACACAGGTCTTACTGATTTTATGACTTGTGTACATGGTTTGGCATAAAATGATATGAAAAGCAGTGTTTGGTTAACATGATTAGTACATGCAATGCATGCATATATGAAGGCTGCATCACAGGCAATTAGCTGAATAGTGACCACCCCACATCCTATTTTCCTGGTGCCCTCCAAAGCTGACAATAGGGCTGATATCAATTGGTGGTGGGCTGTGACACATCCATTTGTTTGGTACCACCTCCTCCAACGAGCATACAGCACGCTGCAGTCATTGGTGGCTGGCAGCCTGTCTGACAGCGACAGCAGCAGGCTTGGGCTGGTTAAGCCCTCACACTAGTGGCCAGTGCCCGAGGTGGGACGCCCCGCGTCGGCACCGCCATCGGCGACGCTCGGGTATGATGGATGCGCCCCGCCGGGCGCCGGACGGCGACTCGCGCACTGCTCTCTGGGCGGGCTCGAGCGTGTGGCGGCGCCGGCTCGATTCGGCTCCTGGAGGGGCACGAACGATCCGTTGTGTGACGTGCCGACCAGACCGTGACCGGCTGGGTCAAACCGAGCGGGGGCCTGTTCTTCGCGGGAGGGCTCTACCGCGGTACGGATGGCATGCAGCGTCCCTTCACCCGCTGCGGGCCGGCGCCGGTCTGCGTACCACAATGTCGACCCCCAGGTGGTGTCTTACCAGTGACGTATGGACTTAACCGGACATATCGCTGTAGAGCTCCTTGCATCTCTATTTTGGACGCACCATGGCGCCCACCGGGACTCACACAGTGAATATCTTGTTCGACCCTCAATCAATTAACAAACTGTAAATGGGACGGTTTTTTTCATTACTGATTCTTATCGGTTCATGCCGTGTCCAGCCCAGAATTTCCCCAACAGCCTAGCCATGCGTGTGTGTTTGCGTGCGTGCGTGCGTGCGTGCGTGCGTGAGTGCATACGTACTTGCATGCGTGCGCGCGCGTGTGGCGGTGTGGCCGCGCTGGGCGCGGCTGTGAGGCCGGGGAGGCCGGGTGGCCGGTCCAGCGCTGCTGTCAGCTGCGCAGTCTGACCGGGGCCGGTGACGTTGTCCGACAGTTCCGCCTGAGCCCGGCCGACCTGGAGCGGTTCGAGGCGACCGAGGATAGCAGCCTGCAGATCCAGATCCTGGACAAGCACGCCGCCGACGGCTGCCTGCCCACCTACAACCGCACCATGTCCGGCAGTGAGTGGTGTTATCCGTGTGATGTCACCCGGCCGAACGGGGCCCGGGCGGCGCGGGCTGTCACGTGCTGTCCGTCCCGGAGCAACCGCACCGTAGTGACTAGAAAGTGGGCGCGCTGAGTGCATGCTTGAGTCCCTTCTGTTGCGGGAACGGTAGGCTGCCCATTTTGTGTCACTGGGGAGAACGTGATTGTCGGACGCCCGAGGGAGAAATAACCGGAGACCGTGCGGCGTGACATCACAGCTGGTACCCCTCACTTGGAGGTAACTAGAAGTCGCCAATCGCTGTGTTGGCCTTGTCGCTAGCTGTGCCGAGCTTGCCGCACTCGCCTTTGTAACTGGCCGGCCCTCCCGGCCCAAACTGCCCACCGTCGAACCGGCGTTCGCTCGTCGTTGACTGCTAATTGTATCAAGAGGAGCGGAGCGTGTCACACGTCGGCTGGAGGGGCCGGTGTTCTCGGAGCCAGATGTGACCGTCCTTTCCGGGTGCCGGTGTTCTCGGAGCCAGATGTGACCGTCCTCTCCGGGTGCCGGTGTTCTCGGAGCCAGATGTGACCGTCCTCTCCGGGTGCCGGTGTTCTCGGAGCCAGATGTGACCGTCCTTTCCGGGTGGCAGTGTCCTCTGACCGGGATGTGACCGTCCTCTCCGGGTGCCGGTGTTCTCGGAGCCAGATGTGACCGTCCTTTCCGGGTGCCGGTGTTCTCGGAGCCAGATGTGACCGTCCTCTCCGGGTGCCGGTGTTCTCGGAGCCAGATGTGACCGTCCTCTCCGGGTGCCGGTGTTCTCTGGATCAGATGTGACCGTCCCCTCCGGGTGGCAGTGTTCTCTGACCTTGATGTGACCGTTCTTTCCGGGTGCCGGTGTTCTCTGAGCGGGATGTGACCGTGTTCTCTGAGCCAGAGGTGACCGTCCTCTCCGGGTGCCGGTGTTCTCTGAGCGGGATGTGACCGTGTTCTCTGAGCCAGAGGTGACCGTCGGCCCATGATGCCGGCAGCGCTGCGCTACTGCGAGCGGTGCCGCCTGATCAAACCGGACCGGTGCCACCACTGCTCGGTGTGCGGCGAGTGCGTGCTCAAGATGGACCATCACTGTCCCTGGGTGAGCGGGGCGCCGCGCCGGCCGACTGCCTCGGCCCGCGCGCCACGGCCGCGCTGCCAGGCGGACGCGCCGCCAGTGCTGGCGGCAGGCGAACGTCCCGCCAGTCCTGGCGGCAGGCGGACGCGCCGCCAGTGCTGGCGGCAGGCGAACGTCCCGCCAGTGCTGGCGGCAGGCGGACGTCCCGCCAGTACTGGCGGCAGGCGGACGCCCCGCCAGTGCTGGCGGCAGGCGGACGTCCCGCTGGTGCTGGCGGTAGGCCGACGCGCCGCCAGTGCTGGCGGCAGGCGGACGTCCCGCTGGTGCTGGCGGTAGGCGAACGTCCCGCCAGTGCTGGTGGCAGGCGGGCGGGTGTGTGATTATCAATGCCCGACGGATGGACTTTGTGCGCTTTATTGCCCTATAAAGTCAATCTTACGACTTCCATAGGTAGAGGTTTGTCAAACCAGTCCTAGAAACACAGGGGTTTTGTCAATGGAATATGTCTCATTTTATCTAGCAGTACTGCATACCAGCATGTGTATGCTGATACTCAACGTGGGATGTGAGCTAGTGAATTGAAAAGCTTGGCACGTGGATTGTTAAGATATCCGGAGAATTTTCCATTTGCGTATTTCGAACATGCAGTCATTTTTTTCAGGTCAATAACTGTATTGGCTTCGCCAACTACAAGTTCTTCGTGCTCTTCCTGGGGTACGCCTTCACGTATTGCGTTTACATAACGCTTAGCACCTTGAAGTACTTCATTGTATTCTGGAAGGTGAGTGTGTTAACTTCAGGTCGCGTCCCTCGTGGTTGTGTAGTCAAGAGTCTGAGCACGTCCGGGTACTGACGTATGACTCATGTGCAGTGACGCCATGTGCTTTGGGCCTCTGATCGTCACTTCACGGCGACTCCAATCAGTGAACGCTCGCTGTGTGCGGAAGACGTGTAAGCGCGTCTTGTGTCGCGCTGCCAGACGTCTGGTAGTCAGCCAGCTGCGCCCGAGTCTGGCCGCCGGTCGAGTGTCGCGCTGCCGGACCGTCTGGTGGCCAGCCAACTGTGCCCCGAGTCTGGCCGCCGGTCGAGTGTCGCGCTGCCGGACCGTCTGGTGGCCAGCCAACTAAGCCCGTGTCTGGCTGTCGGTCGAGTGTCGCGCTGCCAGACCGTCTGGTGGCCAGCCAACCGTGCCCCGAGTCTGGCCGCCGGTCGAGTGTCGCACTGCCAGACCGTCTGGAAGCCAGCCAGCTGCGCCCGAGTCTGACCGCTTGTGCCCCCAATCACGTGTCTGATGCCCCATCGACCCGGTACTAGCTGACGGTGTCGCCGCAGGACGGGCTGCAGGGCATGGCGCGGTTCCACATCCTCTTCCTCTTCTTCGTGGCAGCCATGTTCGGCGTCAGCCTGATCTCGCTGCTCGGCTACCACTGCTACCTGGTGCTGCGGAACCAGTCGACACTCGGTAGGCGGAGGGGCGCGGCCGGCCGCTGCCGGCCCGACGCCGCAGGCGCGCCGGGCCCGCGGCCTGAGGCGCCGGCCGGAGGGCGCCGGCTTGGGGCACGGTGTGCTGTGTGGGGCTAAGCGTGACGTCATGTGTAAGCCTGCAAAGTTAGGTCAGGGAGCAGTGTCAGGTCAGGTTAGGTCAGGTCAGGGAGCAGTGTCAGGTCAGGTCAGGTCAGGGAGCTTGTGTGTATTGTTATGGTAATGTGACTGGCAGAAATACTGCAAGGAAGACGTGCTGCCGCTGGGTAGGTAGGTAACCCTGAGATAACTCGCTGTCCTGTACGGTCGGCATTGGTAGCTTGAGCTGTGTTGATGGATGGTTTGCTGGTTACCGATTTCATCACTGCCGCGCGCCATCATACAACACCAGGAGGGGTGCCGGTAGTGTAGTAGTTAACGCGTCTGCGTTAACCACTGCTCGTCTGGGAAACTAGGGGTACTGGGTTCGACTTCCCGTGGTGCCCGCCCTTCCTGCCAGAGTGAGAGGCAGGCGACGCCATATAGCCTCAGCAGCTGAGTGCGTCGTAAAGCCCCAACGACACACACCACACTAGGAGACTGAACGCGCAGCAGATGGTGTTATTGGCCGAAAATTTCCTCTCGGAGATTGATTTGGCTAGGGGCCTTAGATAATAACACTTTATCAATGGAAAAACACTGTTAGTGGCAACATCCATTCTTAATAATGACAGCAGATCACAAAATAATGAGAGCAAATCACAAAATAATGAGAGCAAGTCACAAAATAATGACAGCAGATCACAAAACAGTATCTCGATAGGTGTTAGGCTATTTGAAGTCCGTAACTGTCCATTGTGGGACTGCAGTGCGAAAACATATGCTCCAAAATTTCCTTTCAGATCGATGTCTGATGTCTTGTTATGCATTTCCAATTACGATACTCACCAGATGGTGTCCCCGGATGTTTGGACCCTCGGTCACGGGAACCAGCAGGTGTTTTCCTATATGCTGTCTGACCGCGCTTCAGCTTTATATTCCGATCGGCCTGTAGAGCGAGCCACGGACGCCCAGGCCTGACGCCTGTATCGCTCTTGCCACGTGGGATCCCATGGCTGCCGCTGTTGCCACGTGGGATCCCATGGCTGCCGCTGTTGCCACGTGGGATCCCATGGCTGCCGCTCTTGCCACGTGGGATCCCATGGCTGCCGCCCCCCGGCAGAGACGTTCCGGCCGCCGATATTCCAGTCGGGTCCGGATAAGCGCGGCTTTCATATGGGCAAGTTCAACAACTTCTGCGAGGTGTTTGGCGACTCCAAGGCCAGGTGGTTCCTGCCTGTGTTCTCCAGGTGCGGTACCAGACATAAGTGCGTTGTGCCTGCCACCTTTCCACCTATACCGCCGCCTTATCTTCTTGCTATGTATATATATATATATATATATATATATATATATATATATATATATATATATATATATACATACGCGTAGAAACCGCCTCCGCCTTAGAGCTTTGGCGGAAGCTGGAATTATTCTAGCTGTGAAGATGGTGCCCGTTGGAAGCTCTGCTTGTTATGCTGTTCCGCCATAATATGCTGTTCCGCCATAATATGCCATTCCACTGGACCATCGTCCCCCGCGCCCCTGACGGTTGTGCCCCAGATTCCGGCCCCTGACGGCTGTACCCCATACCCTGGCCCCTGACGACTGTATCCTGGTCCCCGGCCCCTGGCGGCTGTACCCCCGACCTCGGCCCTTGACGCATGTACCCCAGACCCCGGCCCTTGACGACTGTACCCTGGACCCCAGCCCTTGACGCATGTACCCCCGACCCCGGCCCTTGACGACTGTACCCCAGACCACGGCCCTTGACGACTGTACCCTAGACCCTGCGCCCCTGACGACTGTATCCCGGACCCTGCGCCGCTGACGACTGTACCCCAGACCCTGCGCCCCCGACGGCTGTACCCCAGACCCTGCGCCCCTGACGACTGTACCCCAGACCCTGCGCCCCCGACGGCTGTACCCCAGACCCTGCGCCCTTGACGACTGTACCCCAGGACTCGCGCCTCACGCCCTGTGACCATGGCCGACAGCCTGGGCGATGGCGTGAGCTTCCCGCAGCGGCACGTGGACCTGGACTCGGACGGCCTGCTGGGCCGCCAGCGCTGGGAGGAGCACCTGCTGGAGGAGGACGATGACCACGACTCCAGGATGGGGCTGGTCTTCACAAACAGCGGCGCTGGTACGGCTGCCGGCGCCACGCTGCTGGGCTGATGGCGACCCGCGGCTGGTGCTCGCTGGGTGGAATGTCGTGTGCCAGCGCCGAGAGCTAGGGCTGCTGGCGAGGTCGTCGTCAGTGACGGTGTCCTGTCGACGACTGCTAGGACCGCCACCCCGTGACGGGCGTGAGGGTCGTCGCCCCGTCAGGATGCGCGGCTGGGGCGATGGACCTGTGTCGGAGCTCTGCTCCTCAGACCTGTGCCCGTCTCTCCTTCGCTGATCCGTGGCTAGTGTCGCGGTGGTCCGTACTTCCCGGTGTTCGGGGCCACTGATCCGTGTCCGGGGTCGTAGTAGCCTGTACTGACAGGTGACCAGTGTTACAGCCGCAGTGCCGGAGCCTCGGCCGCAGTAGCCCGTGCTGACCGTTGTCCCGTGTTACAGCTGCAGTGCGGGAGCCTCGGCCGCAGTAGCCCGTACTGACCGTTGGCCGGTGTTACAGCCGCAGTGCCGGAGCCTCGGCCGGATGTACGGCTGATGGTGGGCTGAGCAGGGCGGCGCTCGGCGGCGCTCGGTGGCCGGCAGTAGGCGGCAACACTGCACGGCGCGCCGTCTCCGCACCAACGCCGAGCAGCGCTCCGTCGCCGGCGTCGCCTCTGGCCGCGCGCGTGGCTCGGCGTTCTCCTACCGGGAAGGCGACAGGTGGTGCGGGGCCGGCCGGGCGCCGAGTGGCTGGCTCACGGAGCCCTCTCCGTGGCGCTCCGCCGCCGGTGTCGGCGCCAGGCCGGCCGTGTGTCGACCGTTGGTGGCTACTGCGGGCGGCCCGAGCCGACCCCGCTTGTCTGTGGTAGCGGACCGTGGCGGGCTGCGTGCGTGTGCTGCTGACAATCAGCTGAGCGAGGGTGGGGGGCGTGATTTTGTGGCCACGCGCGCTGAGCAGGCACGTCAGTGGAGGTGATATGGGCATCATGGGTGGCCGCGGCAGGAATCAAGGCATTTATGTAGGATTAGGACGGGTGACAGTCACAGACAACTTAGGTCACAAATCATGCCACTGAATCGGCTTCTTGCAGTATCGTTAACAACGATGCCAGAGTGAAGTGTAATAGCACCCCTCCGGTGCGTTTGTGTGTGTATGTATGTGTGTGTGTATGTGTGTGTGTGTTCCTTTTTCAGTAATTTTACTGTTTCATGTTGTGCACTGCGCAGCCCCAACAAGCGCTTGACGAACTGGTACCCCTTCATCCATGTTTTCCCGCGACATGGAGGAAAACGGCGACGTACTGCCGGGCATTAGTCGCCACCAGTGACGTCATCCGTGACGTCACCCCCGCCGCGCGCGACGTGGCGGTGTCTTGTTTCACATTGATGTTCAGTATTTGGATCCGTTTTGTTTGGCGTCGACAGCGCGGTGTGCGGGGCACCTCGCGTAACCGCCGCTGCGCCCTGCGTGACCGCCGCTGCGCCTCGCGTGCCGGCTGCTGTGCCCCGCGTGACCGTTGCTGCGCCTCGCGTGACCGCCGCTGCGCCCGCGTGACCGCTGCTGTGCCGTGCATGACCGCTGCTGCGCCCCTTATGGCCGCTGCTGCTCTGCCAGCCCGGCTGCTTGCTCGCCCCGTCCGGTCGCGGAGCCGACTGGCGCCCCAGCCAACCGGGGGCGGGCCAGCGCCGTCGGCCGCGGTGAGCGCCCGCTCAGCTGGCGTCGGCCGCCGGCCCCGTGGGCCTGAGCGGTCTCGGGCCACTCCGACCAGACAGGGTGCTAGCTGACCGAAGAAGGGGCTGACCGAACCGGCGGCTAGCAGTCAGCCACCGGCCGTGACGCGGACCACGTCCGCACCAGGCGCGATCAGTGTCCGTCTTGGCAGCATAATTCACGCAGTACTACCAACTCGGGGAGTCGTCGGGGCGTGCAGTACACCCCTTCGCACATTGATGTGGTAATTCACCTTCATTCCACAAACTCGGGGAGGCGGCCGTAGCGCAGCCGCGCGCGTGCAGGATCTCGTTTATCGGTCAGTTCCCAGCCGGCCCCAGTTCCGGTCGTAAGGTCACATGTACCCCGTGCAGATCAGCACAGGTGAATGCTAAGCACAATCAGCTGAACTGGGTCGGCCAGCATCTTGCTCCGTGATGTGCTTGTGTCGGCGTCGCGCGTCAGCAGGGCTGCTCCGCGCGTTCCGATCTCGACCATCGACCGGTGAGCCCGTGGTGTGGGATGGGGCGTCGCTGGTGACGCCCAGCCTAGGGCCGCCCCGTGGCGTGGGTCGGGGCGTCGCTGGTGACGCCCAGCCTGGGGCCGTCCTACAGTGTGGGTCGGGGCGTCGCTGGTGACGCCCCGCCTAGGGCCGTCCCGTGGTGTGGGTCGGGGCGTCGTTGGTGGCGCCCAGCCTAGGGCCGTTTTTGTTCGTGCTCGGCTTGCCGGTCAGTGGCGTCTTGATTGACTTTATTTGCCCCAAGCCTCACTTGATCGCGATTTGATCTAGTCATGCGTGTGTCTCGCTTTGGGGATATTTTATCAATAAATGGAACATATTTCACCTAACCCTTGTCTTTCTGAACAAAGGCAACCAGACCGCTTCCGTGCCCATCAGTTTTTTTTTTTAAGTTGAATGGGGGGGAGAGGGTCTTGGAAGTTGCCATAATGGAACTGGTACAGAATTTTCTCGGCTTTCGTCCACTGAAAATGTCCTTTCACCCGCTCGTTTCAAAACACATGCAATGCGGGCCAAATGTATTTTAGAACACTTCCAAGCTGTTGTGCCTTTGGAGGGAGAGCGACTCTTGCGCGCCTCAGGTCGAATATGCAACAAATGAAACTCCCGTTGGTAACAGCGTTGGTAGTTGAGTTGGCTCGTCATTAAGCGCACCATTATACATGTGTGGACGTGCTCGACACTCATTGAGCTCACCCGCGTAGGCCTGGTCAGTATTTTGTAGTGCCCTCGGCCAGGCCCCAGTCGGGCAGACGGGTGGGCAGTAACAATGCCCAGCACGGCCCCAGATGGGCCTTGCAACACTTGTTTGATGAGCCGCGGCCTGGTCGCAGCCGAGACGTCTGCCCGCGGTCCATCTGGGCACCAGCTGGGCGCATGTTGGCAAAACATCAGGATATCGGTGTGGGCTAGAAAGGCGCTGGGCACCAGTTGTCCTGCCCGGGATGTTGGCGTGGCCTGGACAGTTGCCGGGCTCCAATGGACGTATTTATGGGATCAGAGCTCACGCTAAGCAGTGCTTCTTGTGCGAGCCCTGACCCCTGCCATCCGTTAGCGCAATTCCAGGCAGCGGCAGAGTATAGCAGCGAGCGTTTAACGTGCCGCAATGCTCGGCACGGTTCGCCCTGCCCTCTGACGTCAACTGACCTTTAGCGCGACCACTGCCACCGGCCGCAGGCCATACCTGTCAAACAGTGGAACGTTTGAAAATATATTTGGTATTCGGTAAGGCCAGAATTTAAAACCATTGATTTAAAAGTCAAAATTCGGACCCTAACACCACCTGCCGCAGTACAGGTCGTTCAAAGTGAGAAGTTATTGTCTGGCACTGTGCTGCTTCAGTTTGGATACACTTCCTACTACGAACATGCTTATTATTAAACGGTCTGAGCTGTAATAGCCTGTTTTTATCTGAAAAGCCATACAATAGGGGAAAAGGTACCCAACGTTTGTCGACTTTGGAAAGCACTTCGCCAAGTTGTATTCTATGACTAGTAATTTCCACTGCGTTTTAGAGAGCAAACCTGACATGCTTCTTTCCTATTCCAAAAATAGAATCTGATGGTACCCGTTTCCGAGCAACGGTTATGACGTTTGGGTTGCATTCGTTAGCAATGTCATTGCTTGATGGGGTCTATATGGACCCGGCTGGTCTTTCAGCCTGTTTTTCAACATCATTTCCTAATACGCAGAACCTTCAAAGGCGCAGGAATCCACAGCTGGATGATTTTGGCCATTCGGGAAATGCCTTAGCTGTCTGTATTACTCTTCATCTCACCCTCATCCCACTCCACGCTCAGAAGTCGTACCAGACTGCGGTTAGGGCTTCGTGGCATCTTATCTAAGCTAATGTATCATTTCCTTTCAGAGGTCGCGAAGCACATTTTTTCAAATATTTCATCAACTTCTCCCATTAAACGTTTTGCAATTATATATATATATATATATATATATATATATATATATATATGATATAAACACTTAACAATAAGGTAAGAGTTTGTATTAATTAATACAAACGCTACTAGTCAGGCTTAGACAATTTTCAAGCACACTAGCGCTTTGAAAGTAGATGATATAACGTTATGAACAAGGTCATCGCCCACGGCCCGCCACTGGCCGCTGAGTGTCTTAAATGGTTTCAGGGTCTCAAGGTCAAAGGCTTACCCCTACATAAGTTTAATGCCGGCCGAGATATGGGATTGAGGATAAGTCGACAGTATGGTGGACGAGAAGTGTGCGCACGGTGATGCTCAATATAAGCCGGCTCCGTAAGCAAACGTCACGCTATAAAATGACATTTATATTCCCAATGAACGTTGCATTACAGGATCCAACTTTATCCGCAGCTACGCAGAGTATCGGAGGCCACAGACCCGTGAAGGCAAACTCTTCCCTGACGCAGAGAGACCCCACTCGCCAAACGGCTTGCAGCACGATCTGGTATTAACGGAGAGGTGCCCTGCGGTGCAGTTACACGGGCGAGGCACCACCCTGCCCGGTCCCGCGACTCTTGGAGCCATTTGGAGACGGCGGCGTCGATCTCTTTGACAGTTGCCGTTGCTGTTGAGTCTTTCTAATGACGACATAATCTGTCGATATATATATATATATATATATATATATATATATATATATATATATATATAGAGAGAGAGAGAGAGAGAGAGAGAGAGAGAGAGAGAGGGAGAGAGGGAGAGAGAGAGAGAGAGAGAGAGAGAGAGGGAGGGAGGTATATATATATATATATATATATATATATATATATATATATATATATATATATATATATATATATATCATACAATAACGTAGTGTTCCTTCAGGGGTGCTTTCTGTTTAGTACCATGGAGTTTTACTTTTGCATCGCTATCAAACTAACATTTGCGGTCCATATTCGGTCCATATTCACAAACTTGGAAGGCAAACGATGGATTTCGCTCCTGCTCATCCCGGTTTTTTGTGCATTCCAGCTTTGGTACCAAATTATACCCCTGTCTAAAGATGTCAGTGCGAAAAGAGCTTATCTTTTGTTTGCTACGTCGACTCGGTCATGTGCTATGCCAGTTTTGTAAGTGCCAGGAGATCTTCCAAGCATAACAATTGAATCTGGACAATAATTGCTCGCGACATCCCGCGGTTATTTAAAGTTATAGACAAAGTTGTTATGTTCAAGCCTGCTTCCATCCAGCAGCAGAGAGAACAGGTCTATGACTTTAAATCTGACTGAACTGACCTCGTCGGCGGTACCCCTCAAATATTTGTGCTGGGACCAGTTTGGTTGTGAGATAACCTGGAACCTGAGTCCGCCTCTGTGACCCGAGAACCGCCCGCGGCAGCCGGCTGGGCCGTCCTGGCCCACCGGCGGCACGGGAGATGTGGTGAGGAAGACATGCGGAGTGGACGCATCGGACGGCCACGCCAATAAAACTACCATGGCGCCGTCGGTAGTACTAGGCCTGAGCCTACGCCGGGCCAC